CGCCTGCTGCCAGATGGAGTGCCGATCGTCGTTCAGAGATGCACCCAGGCCGTGCTCGACGGATACTTCACCCCCATGGAGGACGCGAAAGTCATTGCCAGCATATGGAAGGACAAGGGGCGGGCGGGTGAGAAGCGACGCCGCCGCCGCCAGGGCGCCAAGAGCGATGCGGTACACAACCCATTCCCGAGGGGGAGGCACGGGGGTAGCTCGTGCGACAGCGCGGTTTTTAACTCGCGAGTGTGGGGCGCTCTGCGGTTGTTTACCCTGGCGGCGGCGCCGCTTCTCCTTGCTCCTGCATGGGTTCGCACTGAGCCCCGAGGAGAAGCAGGCGCGCGAGAAGAAGCTCGCCAAGGCAGAGGGCAAGATGAGCCAGAAGCGCAACAAAGACAAGACCTCGGTGATCAAGCAGGCGACAAAACAGTGCAACAAGATGACGAGCGCCATCGGCAGGAAGATCGTGAGCAAGATGGTGGCAAAGGGGAGGGTGCAGGCCAAAAAGATCAGGGAGACAGCCTCCAATATCGATGAGCCCTGGGCAACGGGTGAGAATAATAGGGGTGGAGGGCTGGGGGTTGGTGGGAGGCTGGAGGGGCGCAGGCGGAGGAGAGGAGGAGGAGACGGAATGGAGATATGATGGGGGAGGGAGAGAGAGGAGGGACATCTGGGAAATGATGAGGTCATGTGGGCGAAGGGTGAGGGCGGCCAGATAGGGATGAGGGACTGGGAACCGAAACCCAATTCGCTATCCCATTGACGCCGTCGCTCACCCTCTTATCCCGCCCCGCACGTCATCGGCAGGAGGGGGCGTTGGGCGGGTGCGTGACAACCTTCTTGGACCACTTGGCGGCGACCGAGGAGTACTTGAGCAAGGTCGCTGGCGAAAATCAGGACCTCGGGGTGCCGCGGACGCTGGGGCGAACCCGCCTTCCAATGCCCTCGCCCATGTCCCACGTCGTCTACTCCCGCGCGCCCCGCCCCCCTCCCCTTCCGAGTGCAGCGGGCGGGGGGCGGCTGTAGGGCGACGGTGCGGTCGGGCGACGACGGTCAGACGGCAGTCAGGCGACGGTCTCGGTCGGGGTGCGACAGTCAGACAGTCGGACGACAGTCTGACGGCGGCGGCGGGCGACAATCACGCGACGGCGGTTGCCATGCGACAGTCGGACAGCAATGGCAATCGCATTCGGGCGACGACAGTCAGGCGACGACGGGGCGACGGTCACGTCGACTGTTGGACGACGGTCAGGCGATTGTCGGACGACGGTCGGTCAACGGTCAAATGGCGACGGTCAGCAGCCGACGGCGGAACGACTGTGAGACGACGACGGTCGGACTGAGGACTGAGGGCGACGGCCGGACGACGGTCGAGCGGCAGCGGTCGGACGACAGCCGATGCCCCCCAGTAAGGAGAGCGTGAATTTGATTATGTCGCTTCGCTTCTCTGCTCTGCACTGCGTCATCTGCGACGAGAAGGGCATCCGCCTCACGCTGGACCACGATGAGACGAAACAGGTGAAAGGGTGGTGCCTCCTTCGGACAATCTTCAAGAAAGAGATTTACCGTCGCGCAAAGCTCCAGGCTCGACCTTCCGACGTTGATTTCGACGTGCTGAAGGAGGAGGCGGGCAATGATCACGAGCTGGCGCGGGTGCTGCGCGTGGACGACGGCTTGTTGTCGGGGCCGACCGAGCAGGAGCCGATGGAGAAGGTGGGCGAATGCGCTGGCCCCATGGCTGAGCTTATCTCCCACGTTGAGGAGCACAAGGTTTTGGAGGTTAGCTCGGGTGGCCAAAGGGCCAATCGCTTTCTGACCATACGTTCCTACCTCCTTCCTTCCATCCTTTGCTGCCCCTCCCTCCTCCACCGCTCCTCCGCCCGCCGTTCCTTCGCTATTCTTACTCATGCTCCCCCCCTGCTGCTGCGGCCCCTACTAGTCGCTCTTCCTGCTGCCTCTGCCCCCTCCTTGACCTGCATTCCTCCTCGACCCCTTGCCCCCTTTCTTGGGATCCCAAGCGGATTCGTAGTAGATGGGGTTGAGGGATCGCGCGTTGAGGCCCACGCAGTAGGCGTTGCAGCGTTGCAGTTCGACGCGCCACTTACATCGGCGATGCGATGCGATCCGATGCAACTGCGATGCGATCCGATGCGGTTCGGCGCGGGACGAACCGATGCATCGGCGATGTAGCATCTTCCAACCCCATCTACTCGGAGCAAGTGCACATCTTTTTGTACATCCCCCTATCGCCTTCGGCGGCGAGAGCCCGCAACTTTCAGGCGCCTCTGATGGCGCAGACGCGGGCCGCGGGGGCGGCTGGGGTGGCCTTCATGGCGGTCTTGGGCGAGCTGAGCAGGAACGGCGGCTCCTTCGGTTCGCAGCTCGAGGCGATTCGCGCGCTCGCGACCGAGGCCCACTTCTTCTTCCCGCTCTACCTCTCTCTCGCTCTAGCTCCCTATTTCGTATGTATCTTTCTCGTTCACTCTCGCTCCCTCTCTCTTCTCTCTCTCTCTCTCTCTCTCTCTCTCTCTCTCTTCTCTCTCTCTCTCTCACTCTCTCTCTCTCCCTGGCGCTCCCTCCTCTTTCTCGTTCACCCGCGATGCGATCCCTCTCTCTCTCTCTATATATATATATATATATATATCGCACTCTCTCTTCCTTTCATCTATGCCGTTGTAGGCGAGCAAGGCCGTGCTGGCCGTTTGCCCGCTGGACTGGGGCGCCGCGGGGAGGTGCCGCGACGCGATCTTGACCAAGTCGACTGGCCCGAGCATCTTCGCGGACAACGAAATGGTGACCAAGATGCTCGACAAGAAGATGGGGCTCAAGTTCGTGAGGCGCATGCGCACCCAGCTCGCGACGTACATCATCTCAAGTTTGGGGTCCCATCAATTTCCTTGCCGCATGGGCCCGTCCATGGAGAGCAAGCCCTATGTCTCGGAGTCGTTGAGCCCTGTCTTGAAGGCCCTGGAAGAGGCCAGCAACCCTGCGCTCGAGGATGACAACCAGCTGACGCCAGGCAACCTCCTGCATGCCTTGATGTCTGAGGTCTCCAGGGGGCGAACGTGGCCTCTCGAACCCTACCTGCTCCCGTGCCCGAGCCTCAATCAGGGTGCCCACCCCCTGTCCTCTCCCCCCTCCTTGCCAGGGGCGTGGCCCGAGGGCCCGAGGAGTGGGGGGGTGGGGTCGCGGGCCGAAGGTTGCTCGCCATCCCTCGCCCCCCCTCCCCCCTCCTCTTCTTTCCCATCCATCCATGATTCCACCTCCTCCTCCTTCGCGTCCTCCTCTTCGCCCCCCACTCCTCCTCCTCCTCCTCCTCCTCCTCCTCCTCCTCCTCCTCAGCTCCTCCTCAGCTCCTCCTCCTCCTCCTCATCCTCCTCCTCCTCCTCCTGCGCCTCCAGGCGCTGATGATGGTGATCGCTGTCACGTTCGAGGTCGTCGACGAGATCGCGGTTGCAGGCCCTCGCGCGTACCAGACCAGACGGGGCAGCTTGCAGAAGATTCTCACTTGCGGATCTGCAGTGGACGTCAAAAAGTATCTCAAGGCGAACCAGGCTTCCATACAATCGGTCTCGGCAGACATGGTCCCTGCAAATCTTGCTGTGTTCCCAGATGAGCGGGTCAAGTTGACGGCGAATGCGCTGGCGAACTTCGACAAGGACCGATCGGGAAAAGCGATGCCATAAGTTCGGGAGGCGCGGCTCCTGGGCCCGTCCTTGCCCCCGCATGGTTTGTCGCATGCCTGGCTGGGGCCTGCAGCCCTCCTGCCGCAACCCCCCCATGCCCTCCTCCCCGCTCTCCTCTCGCCCCCCGTCCAGGAGCGCGCCCGGTCGGTGAACGCGAAGGTGATGGCTGCCGACGTCGTTGCCGCCGTGTTCGGGAAGCTCAAGACAATCGCAGCGCCGCCGCCGCTGCCGCCTCAGACGCAGCAGGCCCAGGTCCTGGCGACGTTCGCCAGCGACGGCAACTGGGCGTCGTCCAAGTCGCTGTCATTGTCCTGGTTGCAGGGGCTGGCTCCCAGGGATAGCAGCGCGAAAGATGGCGCAGCGTCGGGCCGTCGGGGGCGCATCTGCGTTGGCGATGTCGGTCGGCGATGCATCGGCGACGCTTGCGCGAGGGGGGGCTGGGCCCGCGTCGAGGCCGCGCCGCCGATGCAGCGGCGATGCTGCGCGACCCCCCAACCCCTTCTACCGCGGCCTTGCAGGGCCTTGCAGCCCTCGGCCCCACTAGTAGCCCGCGGGCTCACCCCCCTCCACGTTGCCGAGGATGAGGGCGGCGGCAAGCGACGTGGCGACGTGGCGACGCGGCGACCAAGGGGACGGGGAAAAAGGGAGCGGGGGTGGAAGAGGCTGAGGAGAGTGTTGGAGAAGGGTGAGACAGATCACGAGGGGGGATGGACGTGAGAGTTGACCCGCGCTGGCTGACGTTGGCAACGCATGGGCACATGTGAGATGTTTTGTTTCGCCATTCGTGTGTCGCTTCGCCATGAGGCAACGGGGCAGGTGCAGGCAGTGCGGTTCAGGGGCGCTCGCGGGAATGCGTGGAGATGTGCGAGGTGCCCCTGGACAGATGGTGGGGCCGCTTGAAGGAGAAGGAGGAGGAGGACGCCTCGTCCTTCCTGTCATCCTGCCCTCCTCTGTCAGTCCTTTGCACTTCCCTCTCTCTGCCTTCCGTCGTCCTTTTCCCTCCTTCTCCCCCTTGTCGTATTCCCCATCGGTCTTCGTTTTCCCTCTGCCCTTCTCAGTAAAGGCACCCCCCCAGCTGGCTTCGGCATACTGGCAGTCTGCGCCCAAGGCCAGCCCCCGAACTCCGAGTGGGCGAACGCGAAGACAACTGCCCACGGCGCATCGAACGTCGCGCCCAGTCCCGTCTTAGGCGCCAACCTCTGAGAGCTTCGGTCTTGCGAGGGCACGAAGGTATCCGCGCCCGCGCGCCGTGTCTAGCTGGGCGCGAAGCGCGAAGGTAGGTGCCACGGTGGCGCAGGTATTCCTTGACCTGCCCGCGAGGATTCGGACTGCGTGACTGGTTTCATCACGAAGTACGCTGCCAGCAAGGTTCAGGATTACTTGATGGGGCTGGCGAGGGCCCAGCTGCTTTCCACCTTGGACGGCAGGCCCACCACGGAGGGCGAGCCGAAGGAGAACTCGTGCCTGAGGGTTGCGCCAGATGGCAAGCTTCCGAGCCCCAGCGAGGACCGCAGCTGCGACCCTGCTGGCGGGGTGTGGCGCTGTCGCTTCCACGACCTATCATCAATGTCCTTCCAGATCATGCCTCCTCGTGGTTCCTCGTCGGCGTCGTCGTCGCTCCCCCCGCCCTCCTCTCTTCGCCCTGGCGAATCGTAGTCAGGGGGTGGGCGGGGGAAACGATGGGAGAGCGGGGTGTCCATTATCGCCCTCGTCGTTGCGGTCGTCGTCTGCATCCTCTTCCTGCTTCCTCCTCTTAGTTCTCTGGCATCTGCTTCGTCGGCCGCGCATTTCGCAATGTCCTGCTTTTATCCTCCATCCCCCTGCAGTTTTGGCTCAACAGTTTCATCGGTGGGCTGGGGCAGCCAATGGTTGCAGCAGAGGGCGTCCCGTCCCTGTCGACTCCGACTCCGACTGCCCTATCGAGACTGCCTCCAATCCTGATCCCAACTGTCCTTATCCTGAGTATTTGCTCGGTGATCGACCTGGACAGTTCAGATGGCTCCGCGGGTCTACCTTGGACTTAGGGTACTACTCATCTCCCCCTGCAATACCGCACGTGCCATCTCTATGCCCGCAGCCTGCAGACCCCCGCCCGCCGTGGGCCCCAGCGCTCATCGAGCTGCCCCTGACGGCGCGCATCCCCATTGTGTGGCACTTCCCGCCTTTCGCGAGCAGACACGGCCATGTGCCAGAGGTTTGGCTTTTGCCAACGTGGGGCTGCGCGCTGGGGCCGCGGGCGCGATCCAGGAGGGGCGAGCAAGACCCGCAGGCTATCTTGATGATATGGCCGGTGCCAAATCGGACGCCGTGGCCGTGCGGGTACCTCTAGGGCACGGAATCTAAGTTAACAGTTAGATTTGGTTTGCCGATTTTCTGAATTCGGTGTTTTTTTGTCGCTGCATGTGTTGCTTTCGTTTTGCAAGGTATACCTGGTACGCGACGCCTGGCGAGGAGGGGGAACTGCTGCTGACTTGCTGATCGAGGACGAACGGGCAAAAACAAATATTCACACCATCTTCCTCCTCATCTCCCCATGCAGTCCTCCTCCTCCTCCTCCTCCTCCTCCCCCCCCCCCTCCCCCCCCTCCCCCTCTCTTGCCTCTCGTCGCCGAGTCGCAGTCGCAAGTGTCGTTTCATCTCTAGTCTTGTTCCCCGCGTCTTGGCCGTCGCCATCGTCGCGCCTCTCCGCGACCCGCCCCTCGCCCGAGGACGGCGCCGCCCCCGAGGTCAAGCGCCGCTGCATCATCCGGCGCGAGGTGGGGCCCACCAGGCTGCGCATGCGGGGCAAAGTGGTCGACGCGAACACAGCGCAATATCTGAATAAAGGCGCAGCTGGGGCGCTGGGGCAAAGAGATAGAGAAGCGGGAAGGGGCGGGATCAGGGTGGCGGACATGGAGGAGGAGTCGGGGGAGGAGGAGGAGGACGAGGGCGAGGGCGAGGGGGCGGATGGGGGCGGAGGAGGGCGAGGAGACGATGACGAGGAGCGGAGGAGGAGGGGGTGGGGAAGAGGGAGAGGGAGACGGATAAGGATGATAAGGAGAAGGGGAAGCATGCGGAGTCGGGATGCGGAGTCGGGGAGTCGGATCGACGCGCGCGAGTCGGGATCGAAATCTAAGTGGCTGTAGCTGGAGGATGGGAAGGGGGTTTGGAGAGGGAGAGGTGGGCGATGGGGTGGGGGGGTGGGCGAGAACGAGGAGTTGGCAGTGGGTGGGAGGAGAGGTCGGGGTCGGAGTCGGAGGCGTCGGAGGAGGGCGAGGAGGGGGAAGGGAAGGGAAGAGGAGGTTGAGTTGCGCGTCCTGGCCCACGGCAGCCGCTCGCGCGGCGGCCACGGCACTGGCCTGGCAGGGCAGGCGGAGCAGGGGGGCGATCGAGAGTCGAGAGAGCGAGCGAGCACGAGCCCTTTCGCCCAGGGACGTGCATCAGCCTGAACCCACGCAAGCTTGCACCAGGCCAGCCAGCACTGTACCTCGACGGCAGTGGCTGGATGAACGCGAACAAAAGTGAATGCTGCCCTGCCTGGCTGATCCCAGTGCTCCCGAAGTCAGCTGAGAAGAAGGATGCGAAGGAGGGTGAGAAGAAGGAGTCCAAGAAGGGCAAGAAGAAGGTTCTTTCTTCCCTCTCTTTCCTCCACTCCTTTCTGCCATAGCCTGACCGCCCCCTCAGCCAAGGTCGAGCCGCCCAAGCCGACCCACATGATACAGTTCGAGCGCGTGAAGCTGCTCAGCGACAGCTACCTCAAGGATTGGGAATACTGCGTCCCCATGGTTGTGGACAACCCAAGTTTCCACGACGTCGTGGGTCGGGGGAGCTATCCAAATGGCCGCGTGACAGCGCGGCAGTATCGGGAAGCGGGGGGAGGGGTGGGTAAACGAGGGAGGCGGCTGCTGCAGCGGCGACGGCAAGCCCCTTGCCGTCGCCGCTGCCGCAGCTGCACGGCCGCGCGGCCCATCAGGTGGGAGAAGGTTAGGGGGGGGTGGTGGGGGGGAATGGAGTGGGCTGCGCCTGCGGGCGGAGCGGGGGGGCGGGCGAGCGACGAGGTCGGCGAGGGGGTGGGGGGTGGGCGCCGAGGGGGAAGCAAGGCGGAGTGCGGGAGAGAAAAGAGAGGCAGTAGGCAAGAGGAGGCAGGGAGGGAATGATCGCCCTCCTCCTCATCTTCCTTTTCATTCTCCTCCTCCTCCACCCTCCTTCTCCTTTTCCTCTTCCTCCTCCTCCTCCCTCTCCTCCTCCTTCCCCTCCTCGCTCCTTCCCTCCCTCCCTCCCTCCCTCCCCCCCTCCCCTCCCCCTCCTCCTCCTCATCCTCTTCCTTTCTCTACCTCCTACCTCCTCCTCCTCCTCCTCCTCCTCCCCAGGTGTGAAGTGCTACCGCGTCCCCATGGAGTGGGGCGACGCGCCTGCGGCGAAGCGGCCGCGCAAGGCGGCGGGCGTCGGCGGCTTCGCGGCGCGATGAGCTTCGAGCCGCAACGGCCGCTCGGCCCCGACGGCCCCCGGCCCGCCGGCGCGCCCGCCCGCCGCCGCCGCCGCCGCCGCCAGCCTGCCCCTGCCACCCCTCGGCCAGGGGGCGCGCCGAGGGCGGGGGCAGGCCGCCATTTCCGACGCGCCGATGCCGCTGTCGCGAATCAGAGGGCGGGGTGGGTTGAGGGGCAGCGGGGGGGAGGGGGGGAGCAGTAGGAGGAGGATGAGGATGAGGAAGAGAATGAGGAGGAAAAGGAATAGGAAGAGGGGGTGTCCATCCGCCCCCCTCACCCTTTCCTTCCGCTCGCGGCGGCGGCAACGGCGCGTCGGAGTCGGAGACATCTGAACATCTGACATCGAGACAGCTCGCGGCTCGCGAGCGCTGCGCGTGCAGATTCTCCATCCTTTTCCTGATCTTCCCCCTTCCCTCCGCGCCCTCCTACTCCACCTTCTTCCCCTGGCCCCTCCTGCTCCGACTCTGCATCGCTGCATCTCCGAGCCTGCGGCAGGGCATCCATCTCGCTCTCGACTCGTCGTCTTGAGAGTAGGGGTGGCAAAGAGGAGAGTGGGACCAGAAGAAGGTCGTGGGCCGTAGAAGAGGAGGAAGAGGATTTGTGGGCTGTTGAAAAATGTAGCAGTCGGGGGTGGGGTAGGAAAGGACTCGGAAGTCTGGCCGTAGAAAGGGGGGAGGATTGATAGTGCGGGGGGTAGGACCAGGAGAAGAGAAGGGGGGGAATGAAAATGGGAAACACGAAAATACGGGAAGGAGGGGGCGTAGGGGGGCGCGGAGGGAAGGGGGGGGAGTACGAGGAACAGGATGAGGAAGCTGAGGAGGAGGAGGGGGAGGGATGCCCAGGGGGGGTGCGTGGGGGTGGGTGGGGGGTGATCCCAAGGGTCTGTGGCACGCTGCCGTGGCGGCAGTTCCCTCCACGAGTAGGGTGTTCTCAACGAATATTGGACGACCTCTGCAAACATAGTAAAGAAATAGCCCGGGGACGATGTTTGGAGTATTTTGTTGACCACGTTGGGGCATATGCTTTGACTATTTTTTATTTTTCGTCCCAAATTCCCCTGTAGGAGGACAGGCAGGGGTGGACCTAAACGGTGTTTGGGCGACATCGTGGGCCGTTTTCGTTTTCGATATCGTTTTGCAACAAGGGCGAACTCAAGACAGAACGAGGGAAAACGAAACACACAACGAAAACGAAAAACACCGCTCAGGCCCAGCCCTGATCTGGGCCTCTCAGATGGGGTCGGAGCAGATGGGGTCGGAGGATCACGCCGCATCGCCGATGCATCGACGATGCGGTTCGATGCGGAGCCCGACTTTCGCCACGCCGACATCGCCGATGTATCGCCGATGTTGCCGATGTATCGGCGATGCGGCGTGATCCTCCGACCCCATCTGCTCCGACCCCATCCAGGAGGCCTCTACCTGAGGACAGGCCCGACCTGACCCTTCGCCGCCCCGCAGCGGGGCCGGCGGCGCTGCTCCGCGCCGGCGCCCCGCCGACCACCGGCCTCGCGCGCCCACGCAGCGCGGGGGGGACAGCCGCGCCGACCGCCGGCCTCTGCGGCGGCCCCCTCTGGCCTCCTCTCCTCCCAGGATGGGGCACACAGACACCATCCATCGTCGACTCCCCAGGAAAACGCACGGGAAAGTGTGGGAAGTGTGGGGGGGGGGGGGGGCGAAGACTCTGACCCAGAAAATGCGTGGGGAAGGATGGGGGCGTCCTGCTGTTCGTGCCTCTGTTTCTTTGTGTGCCCCTGGGCCCCCTTCATCAGAGCGTGAATTACCTACCCCGCTTTCGCTTCCAGGCAAAACCAAGTCATACCATGCGCATCCTCGTCAGGCGGCCTGACCAGTACATGCCGTAGTTTGGCATCGCTTGGTATCTCTTGGAAGCGAGGGTGGTCAAAAGCGAGGTAGGTTTGTTTGCCCCCTACTTCAAGTCCTCGCCCCCGCCGCCTCGCTCCCGCCGTCCTCTCCCCTCGGAGGCGCCCCCCGCCCCGATGGCGGGCCCGCGGGGGGGGCGCGCCGCGCCCTGGGAAGAGGGGCGGCGGCGGCCCGGCCGCGCCGAGGGCGGGTGCTCTCCTGACTGGCCTCTGGCCCCCCGCTGGCCGCCTCCTCCTCCTCCTCCTCCTCCTCCTCCTCCTCCTTTTCCTCTCTTCCCTCCTCCTCCTCCTCTCCTCCTCCTCCTCCTCCTCTCTCCTCCTCCTCCTCCTCCTCCTCCTCCTCCTCCGCCTCCTCCCTCCTCCTCCTCCTCCTCCTCCTCCTCCTCCTCCTCCTCCTCCTCTCATCATCATCATCATCATCATTGTCCTTCCCCTCTCTCCTCCTCTCCTCCTACCTCCTCCTCCTCCTCATCATCATCATCATCATCATCATCAGCATCATCATCATCGTCCTCCTCCTGGCTGGATTATGGCCCCCTGCTGGTGCCTCCCTCCCTCCCTTTTTTCCCCGCCTTCACGCTGCCGCCCGGCGGGCAGTCCGCTGGGTGGCCTCTCCGCGCCGGTCATCCACGCGGCGCTCCGCCCCGGGCTCTGTTCCCGCTTGCCGTGCCCACAGCGGGCCCCTCTCCGCCCGCGCTCTGCTGCGTTCCCTGCCGGCCTTCCTCGGCACCTCCTGCCTCTCCTGGGTCTCTGCCACGTCCGCGCAAGGACCTGCAAGGCTCTGCTGCGTTGGGCAGCGTGGCGCCTCCCTGCCATGCACGCCCAGATGGCGATGGTCGAGGAGGAGGAGGAGGAGGAGGAGGAGGAGGAGGAGATGGTCGAGGAGGAGGAGGAGGAGGAGGAGGAGGAGGAGGAGGAGGAGGAGGAGGAGGAGTCCTCCTCTCGGCGGCGAGCGAGGGGGGGCAGGTGAGGAGGAGAGGGCCCTCTCAAAGGGCGGCGGGGCTTCTCGGGAGGCCTCTGGCCTCCCGAGAGGTCTTGCCTTCGCCCTCGGGGCGGGCTCCGCGGTGACTTCCCAGAGGGCCCCGGGGGGACCCTCGCGCGCCGCCGACCCTGCCACGCGGGCCTCGTGCCGCGTCCCTGCCTGGGGATGTCCAGCGGAGGGCGTCAGGGGCGGAAAAGAGGGGGGTGATGACTAGGGGGGGGGGATATCGTGGCGTGGGCCATGACATCGCCCCAGATCTCGTGGCGCCTCTTCTTATTTCATTACTTACGTCCCTGGCCACCCCCCGCTGGGCCGCGCACATGGCGCCGGTCGTGACCCCCCTCTTGGCCGTTCCCGAGGGCGGCGCGTCACTGCACGCCAGCCACGCCCGGATGCCATGCTCGCCGCGGGCTCGCGCGGGAGCCAGAGCGATCTCGCCGGAGGGGCCCGGCCGCGCGC